ATGTCACATCTGCCACCTGGAATCACCTTGAATGAAGAGCCCATTGAAGGCAAAGCTTCAGCGGGAATGCATGGCCTCAGAAGAGAATGAAAAGAATGAGGAATCAGGCCAGGCGCTCACGCCTGTAATCCCAGCACTGCTCTCTGGGAGGCTGAGGCGGGATGATCGCTTGAGGCCAGGAGTTTGAGACCAGCCTGAGCAAGAGCAAGACCCCGTCTCTACAAAAAATAGAAAAATTAGCCGACGTAGTGGCACGTGCCTGTAGTCCCGGCTACTTGGGAGGCTGAGGCAGGAGGATCGCTTGAGCCCAGAAGTTGGAGGTTGCTGTGAGCCATGATGATGCCACTGCACTCCAGCCTGCACTCTAGCCAGGGTGACAGAGTGAGACTCTGTGAAGAAAGAGGGACGGAAGGAAAGAAGGAAGGAAGGAAGAAAAGAATGAGGAATTAGACCGTGGGTATGGGCTCTTACCGTACTGGACAGTTGAAGAACTAGAAGACAATCTCTGAAATTCCTAAATTCTTGCCTCAAGACTTAGATCAAAAACCAAAGATTCTACAACTGCACGAAAATGTCTCTTAATTCTTGCAGCCAGGCTCAGATAGCCAAAAATGAAACTCAAAACTTGAGCCTACAGAGTGACAAATTACGTCATTAGCCAATGCCACAGCCTCGCGAGCGTCTGGAAGGATTCTGGATGATCCGGAACGCCCCGAAACCCCAGTCCCGCTGAGCCCCTTGCCAGCTGAGCAGCCTCCCCTCAGTGTCTGATGAGGCTGGCCCCGTCATAACAGCGACCCTGTAGTGACGCCACCCTGCCCACCGCCCTCAGTGTCTTCAGACCAAAGTCAGGTCCCAGGATGCCCTGAGGGGCAGGATTAAATGTCAGTCCTAAACCAAAATCTGCAAACTTCATTTTGCATCATCCAAACTCTGGAGGAAATGTGTGAACGGATGCTGAGGGTGTGCACTGCGTAAGGGAGCCGTCAGCTCTGGTCGGGCTGAACGTGTTCATACAGCCGCACCAGCTGGCCACCCCGGGACTCCGGTGCCAGCCCTGCCAGCTGCAGGTGGCCCGCGTGTTTCCGTAGCTGGTTTGTGGGTCGGCGGGTGAGCTGGAGACCCACCCAGCGGTGGCCCGCCCTGCCTGGAGAGGACAGAGATGCCCGGGTGTAACAGGGAGGCAGAGGAGCAGGTTAGCCACAGATGACCTGCCCTTAACTACCAGCCTTGCCCTTCGCCAGGACGGCGGAGCCTCCTTGCTGAGGGGCCTAACGGCCTCAACGATGTCCCGGTGTCCAGGTTAGGAGTCCTGCCAGCCGCTCGCCTACTGCTTTCTGGCGTGGAAATCAAGACCCTGGGATGGCAGAAGCCCAGAGGTGACAATGACTGCCAGGGTGGTTGGGTGTGTCACCGTAACAGGCAGCAGAACCAGAGGGCTGTCCAACAACTGACCGGCTGGGACTGGTGGGGCTGATGGATCACGAGGTCCCCGGGGCAAACATGCATGGGCAGCCCACAAGGACGTGTGGCTTTTATGACCAGAAAGGCCTGGCTTCTAGTAAGACCTTCTGGTAAGCAGGTCCGACGTGAGCCTCCCCCTGCGCTCTGCTAGACAGAGACGTGTGGACGCTCCCTCAGTCCCCGGCGCCAGTCTGTCCACAGACCCAGCTCCCCCGTGACGAGGGAACTGACGTTACACCTGGAGTCCGTCTCGTGGCTGTCCCCCGAGGGGACCGTGGACTGTGGCCGTTCTCGCATTTACAGGAGAAGTGACTGCGCCGCAGAGTGGGGGTGACGGCGCCGAGCCCCTGCTTCCTGCCCTGCAGCAGGAGGACAGGAGCGCCTGCCCGAGAGGATGGCCAGGCTAACCGAGGAGAACGGCGGGACAGCGCCGAGCTTTGAGTCCTCTGTGATTTGGGGTCACTCTTTCATTTGCTTCCCTCGTCCCTGCTCCGTGCCGTGATCAGCCACGTGCTCCGTGCTGAGAGGAAAAATAACAACTCCTTCCACTGACGAAAGGGCAAATGGGTGCCGGGAGCAGCGCTCGGCCCGAGCGCCTCTCGCCCGAGCGCCAGCTCCGCAAGCCACGCGGCGGGAGGGAGCAATGGGCCTGGTGTGTCCTGTCGCCACGCCCGTGTTCTGTCCACGGTGGCACCAAGCTCCTCGGAGAAGGAGGCGGCGAGTGCAGAGCCTGGGACGTGGTCAGGGTGATAAGCGGTGGGGGGAAGGCTGGAAATGACGGGAGGATGGACGAGTAGATGGATGGGTGGAAGGACAGAGGACAGACGGATGGATGGACGGGTGGGGGCAGAGGGAGAAGCATAGACATGGAGAGAGAAGAGGGCTGCGTAGACCCATAAGGCGGATTCCACATGATCCCAACCTTGGAGGATCTTCCAATCAAGGAAGAGGCCGCGCTAAGTAAGCAGGGAGCTCGCGGGAAGTTGAGTATCTCACCTGTGGTTAGTGTCGCCCTCACGGTCTGCAATTTCCGGCCACACACGGACGCGTGATGAAGCTGCGACCGGGGCAGGCAACTGATCCCCCCAATAACAGATCGATTTGTTTGTTCATCGACAGGCTTTCATCACTGAGCGCTCACTGCGTACGAGGCACTCTTCTAGGTGCCGGGGACGGACAGAGCCGTGAACAACACAGCTCCACGTGGAGTTTCCGTGGGGGTGGACAGCGGACGCAGGTGAGACCCGCTTGTGCCGCTAGCAGCTGAGGATGGGCTCTGCGGAGACAGGGAAAGGGGCTTTCGGGGGCAGGGGCTGCTGTCGTGGAAACGCTGGACAGGGCAGCCTCCGGGGTGGCTGTCGCTTGCATGGGGGCCGGAAGTATGGGCAGGGGCGGGTCACAGCTCCTCCAACATCCGGAAGGAGCAGGGCCTTTCCTAGGCCCCCACGGTGACTGTGTGGCCGGGTCAGGTTGCTGGACAGGCGTTTAGGGACAGGTTCTGGGGTTCTGGGGCTGACGCTATGAAACAGTGGAAATGCACCGGGTACAGCGTCAGCAGAGGAGGCTGGAGCCGGGATCGGGCCGCTGGGCCGCCGCACAACCTCTCTGAGCCTGTCTGGAGTCGTTTCCCGTCTGTGAGCCCTGTCTCCCCTTACAGCAGTCCTGCACGTGCTGGGCTCGCGGCATCTCACTTTATAAGCACTGCATGCTCGTTATTTTGTTATTTTGAGGAAGCAGCAAATCAAATGCCATCCAAAGAAGGCTGCGGTTACATGTTCCAGCTGAGGGCCGTGGGCTGGGACAAGAAAGGCAGCTTGGGGAAACTGAGGATCTGAGCGAGCACGGCATTCCTGAGTTCACCAGGTGAGGCCTGAGGAAGGCGGGAGAGAAAAGGAGCAGCCTGGTGGCCATGCCGTCTCCTTCCCCAGGTAAATGGGGCTGTCTGTTAGGATCAGGCTCAGTTGCAAGGGACAGAAAGCCCCAAACAAGAGCACCTCCAACAGAAACACGTTTCTTTCTTCTGTGAAAGCTGCTCCGTCAGGCAGCCGAGCGTTGGGGACCCTACCCCTTCCCTCCTGCTCCACCAGCCTCAGCACTTAGCTTTCAGCTCATGGCGCAACATGGCTGCTGAACACCGGACACCACGTCTGTATTACAGCCGACAGTGCAGAGAAAGGGGTACAGAGGGGATGCCTTCTTCCTAGCAGAGGGGTTTCTGGGAGAATGCCATTTCATCCTGGCATTTCTAAGACACAGAGAAAGCCCACCAGGCCCCTGGAGGGCCCACAGACTCGCAGTGCTGCTGCCTGGGGTGGCACACGGGGAAGAGGAGAGACACTGGCAGCTCTGCTCGGAAAGTGACCGTGGCCATCCACGGGACAGCCCAGCCGGGCCCTGCAGCTGCCCTCTGGTTTCCATGTCCTGGAGGAGCAGTCTCCTCCTCCTCCCGGCCAGAGCGCTGGGGCACGGAGGTCACCGGGGATTGGGGGCAGAGGGAAGGTTCTACAGTCAGGATCGGGCGGGCAGGGCAGGAGTTTCCAGCCAGGTCCCTCCTGTCTGCACCGCCCACCACCACCATGGGTGGACGCCACTTCTTCAAGGGCAGGGCTGGGAATCCCAGGCTGAATGAAAATCAATTTGCTCCAAAAGCTCCTGGTAGTGACGGGCACATGGCAGGAGTTCAAGAAAGTGAGTGAGTGAATGAATCAGTCAATCGTGGGGAGCCCAAATGGTATCCAGTCTCACCTCAGCCACGCTGTCACCCAGCTTCCCCTTACACACTTCCAGTGACAGGGAGCTCACTACTTCCAGGGGCAAAATGGCTTTAGTGACTATCTTCCTGAGTCAGATTCTTCATCTCCTGGACTCCCTGTCAGCCCCAGTCCATGCTGCATTTGCAGGTGGGACCCAGAACACACTTAGCATCTTTCCACAGGCTGGTCCTCAGCTCTTCACGAGCAAGAGAAAGCAGAGAACCCCAGAGCCTGGCGGCTGAAGTCTCTTCTCCTCCTTCATGTTTCGGGTGGGGTTCCGGCCGGAGAGGCGCGGCCTGCCCAAGGCCACGCAGCTGGCGAAGGGCTGAGCCAAGACCAGACCCCAGACCCAACTTTCAGCTGTTTCCCTCTAAATCTCACAGCCCCTCCTCCAGCCTTCCCCGCATGGGGCGCCCCCTCCCCACAGCCAGCCCCCCAATCCTGAGGATCCACTTCCCGTGTGGAGACGCTCATCCTGCAGAAACCCATCTCCCGTCACTGCCGGGGCAGCTCGGGTCTGGGGCCTGGGGACCCTGCTTCGAGGGCCGCTGTAGGACAAGACCGACAGAGTGGGCTGTGTGCCACTTCCTCCCTCGGAGCGTGGGCCTGCGGGCATGTGCACGCATGTGTGAGCGTGTGCGCACGCGTCTCTGTGTGTGATCGCGCCTGGGCCTCGCGGAGTGAGAGGAACACACAGCAAGCTGTCGCAGCATCCTGCCAAGGCGGAAAGTTCACTGTCGCGCGCAGCAGTAATGCCAACACACAGACCTCGGCGGATTCGTCTGGTTTTGTTTTGTGGTTATCTTTTTTTACAACTTTAAATACGGAATATAAATAAATTTTACATTTAAAAAATAAAAGGAAAGCCCCCAAAAATATAATCACCGACTTTACAAACTGAAGGAAGCAGAGTTTGGAGGAGGGGAGGGGAGGGTGCAGTGGGAGGTGGGAAGGGAAGAGAGCTCAGGCCCCACGCCGGGGGCCCTGGGGACCCTGTCCCTTCTGTCCCCTCCCAGCCAGGAGCTGGGTTCCTGGGAGGAGCCTCCAGGGGTGGAAGGAAATAGGACAGCAAAGGTGCAAGCGGGAAGGGGGGGCGGGAGGGGCTGCCCCTCCCTTGGAGACATTCTCCTGGGTCTCCCACACCTGCCTGGAAGGGGGACGGCTGGAGCAGTGGACTCTGGGAAATGGAGGCCCCGTGAACAACAGCATTGCCTCCCCGCCACAGACTCACTCCTCTCTGACCACTCCCATCCACAGGCGGGGCAGGGGCACAGGCTGTTCACAGGGAGCCTGTGTGTGAATTAGGCAAAGCATCCCTTTCCTCAGACATTCACCTACATCTGCCAGACACTGTCATGATAAACACACAGATCGGCCACATCTGTGGTGTGAACAGTGCTCCCTGCATGCAGTGCCCTTGTGCAGTGCACACCCTGTACAACCTTACATGGCAGTCTTGGCTGGGCTGGAATATGATGGGCAGGTCCCCTGCTGCCCTGGCCCCTGGTCTTCAGCCCTAGGGAGAAGTGACTGGGGTCATTTGGGGCCTCAGTAAGAGGTCCAAGAGCCACTTGGTAGAGCAGACTGAAGGGCCAGGACAAGAAGACACTACTAGGTAGAGGTAGAGAGATAAGAGGAAACAGAGAAGGAAGTGAATCAGGGTAGAGCAAAGGGAGCAGGGAGGTGGCAGGAGGCAGGGGATGCCCAGGTCACCATCTGTGCCCACCCCAAGAGCAAACTTCATCTTTAACCCATCTGAGAGGGCACTCGGCCAACCTGGCACTCTGGCCACACCCCCCTAGAGGAGTCCACGTCTTCAAAGATTTCATACACAGAGAGTAGAACAAAGCCACTCTGAGCAAAGGTGATCAGGTAGAAGAAGTGATGGGGGGGTCTGGGCACTGTGGGAGGGGTTTTCTCCAGTCTGTGCTCCAGTCTGTGGTCTTAGCCACGGCGTCCGAGGTACCCCGGCCTGCCTGGAGGTGCTCCCCCCCAGAGCTGGCCAGGGCTCCAGGGACCAGACAGAACATGCCAAGAAGTCCTCAGGGCCACGTGCAGGGCTCCTCGGGCCAGTCCAGAGCACTCGGGTGTGGCCCAGGCCAGGCCTAGGCGAAGGGACCCCTTTTCCCAAACAGCGACCCCATCAGTCTCTCTTGCACTCGTATCCCAGACTCTTGGCATCAAGGGAGGAAGACAGCAATGGAGTTCAGTCCTTCTTTTCCTTCTCGAGCTGCTGGGCAAGATGCCGGGGACCGCTGGGAGGAGACCCGCAGGTGGAGGGTGACGGACACGCGGCGGGGTAGGGGAAGCACCATTGGCCGTCCGAATCAGCATCGAGACAGACGGACGAGGGGACAATATTATCACTCCAAGGACCCCATGGGGGCAATACAGCAAATACCATATTAAATAACCCTGCAGGCCAAGCAGAGGGACACAGGGTCAGACACAGCCTTGGGGGGTCCACCCCACGCAACATACGCCCCCCATGCTGGGGCAGGGAGCTGGGGGTTGACCAGCCAGCCCCGATGTCCCGCAGTGCCCAGAGCTGGGCAGTTGAGGGGGGTGGGGAGGAAGTGAGATCTTGACCTGTTCTCTTAGGGCATGCTGGGGCGAAGCGGGGCTGGGGCTCCGAAACCCGCCACCCCCCATCCAGTGCAAGAACTCAGCTGAGATCGGGCAGAGGCTGGATGTTGTGTGGGAACATGCCTCTCCGCCAGTCCCTCCCACAGGCCAGGGAGAAGGAAACACAGGGTTCTGGGCCTCAGTTTCCCCACCGGGCCCTCACCTGCCCACACTCTTCTGCCGATGCCCCTAGGCTCCGAGGGTCTCCTTCAGTGCCATCTTGTCATGGGTGTGCTTGAATTTCCGGTGCTTCCCCTTGGGGGGCCGGCGGACTCGCACTGTTCGGATGGTCACCCGAGTTTGGGGCGTCTTGGCTGCTCAAGAAAAACAAAGTTCTCGTCAATATGTGGATGACCACTGAGGGGTCTGTCTCTCTCCACCAAGGCCTGCCACAGACCTCTCCAGATCTCTGGGGCCAGACCTCCTGGGCTTCAATCCAACTCCACTGCTCACCACCTGTGTGTGCCCTGGGGACAATGACTGAAACACTCCATGCCTCAGTTTCTCCATCTGTGAAATGGGGGTAATGAGACTGCCCACCTCACAGGCCTGGTGGGAGGAATAAATGATAATATGCTGGTAAAGTTCTCTGCACAGTACGTGACACGAAGCGCAGATAGATTAAATACAGCTTCAAATTCTTTGTCATCGCCCATGGACAAGTAGAGTTCACCTCCCTGGCCCTTGAATCTGGCCTGGACTCGGACGTGGTCAACCAACAGGGGGAGGCAGAAGTGATGCTGCACCAGTTCTGGGCATAGTCTCAAGAAATCCTGATGGCTCTCACCTTCGACTGGTGCTGCCTGGGCTACAGGGAGCTGTCCCAGTCGAGCCTCCAAATGACTGCAGCCCCAGCGCCGTATAACTGCAATGGCAGATGCCAACAGAACCACCCAGCTGAGCCCAGTCAAGCCAAAGACGCAGGAGAGATAATGCCGTGGTTGTTGCTCTAAGCCACTGAGCTCAGAGTGAGGAGTAACCAGCAAACGGCAGCTGCTGATTTCCTTGGCTTGGCCTCCTGCCAATGTTTCCTCCCAACCTCTCGGCCCCTCCAGTCATGCGGTGGGGAAGCCACTGGACTTCAGCCCAGAACCACACTCCCTGCCACGGAGCTGAGCCTTTTGGTCACTTGTGCCTGTCTCATCTACCTGCCTCTCCTCACCACTCCAAGAAGTGGTATGGGGGTGGTGGGGCACAGCTCAGACCACCTGGCTTTAAATCTAGGCTCTCCAAACTTTGTGTACTTTGGGGTAAGTCCCTCAAATGCCCCGTGCCTCAATTTCTGCACCTTTAAAACAGATGACAGCAGCCCTGGACTCCTACGGACAGGAGATAATACAAGGAAACAGCTGGAAACCCTTTGCTGGCACTTACCACGCACCTGTGCTGTCCTAAACTCGTTTGCCATCACGGCAGGCACCATTATCCACATTTTACAGATGAGGAAACTGAGGCAGAGAGACTGGGATTTGACCTCACGGGCCTGCGTCTAGAGTCTACACTGCCAACCAGTCAGTGTAAATGTCAAGTGCCTGTGAGCCTCGGCCAAGGTGAGCTCTCACGCTTCTCTCCCCCTGGGCTCCCAGGGGGACACTCTGGCAGGGACAGCCTCGTGTGCTGGGTTCAAGGCCAGCCTTTTCCCGGGAGCCCTGTGAGCTCTCCCCAGCCTGCGGGGCTCTTCAGCGCTAACACCTGACCCCCGCCGCACAGACACAAGCTCCCACAAGGCAGTTATCCCATCTCTGCTAACGGCAGATCTTCCAGCAGGTCAGGGACTTGGGTGGGGCTCAGACCCCCCCCCCAGACAAGACACCAGAGGGCCACGCCAGCGCCCAGGGAGTTTCTGCCCCCAGAGCCCGAGCCATCAACAGGACGCTGGGCTGGGCGAGGTCCAAGCAACTGCAAAGCCACGGCCCACCTCACGAGTGACAGGGCAGAGATTCAGCCCAGGAGGTCTGACCCCACCACCCCATCACAGGTGCCACACCTCCAAGCCTCAGCCCGCCCGTGGACAGCTGCCAGAAGTGCCCAAACACGCGGCTGAGAGCTGCGCCTGAACCTCATGTCACCCACACATCGGTGGTTTAATGCGCTTTCCAAGAAACCGGTTTGGAAAATCACATGAAACAAATGCATAAAGAAGAATATAATTTTTCCTTAATAGAGAAATCACTGTCCATGTTAACTCTGTAAATAATTTACAACATGTCAGTTTGAAGCTGTCAGATGATCAGCCTTCCCAGGGCATCCAGCGACTCAGCTTAGCTCTGGGAACAAGACCACAAAGAGGCCAAGAAGCGGACGAAAAGACTGTCCTGTCCCTAACAACAGAAAGTTAGGGAAAATCAGAACTGTCCCTTATGAGATTTGTTTTTGACGCCCACCTAATCGTATTCACTTGATGATTTGATCCTTACTGCAAACATTCGAGGGAAAACAGGCTGTGAGACACAGCCAAGAGAACCCGGAACTAGATGTTACAAGACCTGGGTTCTGGGATAGGCTTTGCTGCTGGGCAACTTTTGTTAACTCCATAACCTCTCTGTGCCCCAGTAGCCCAATTAATAACACTGAAAGACCAACTTGCAAGGTCATCTCTCTGCTCCATTCTAATGCTATTTAAAAATCCTTTTAAAAAAATGACAAGGCAGGTGAGAGAACTGTTGGGGTGAGGGAAAAGGGAAGAACAAAGCCTCAGGACACCTGGATTCCAGCCACACCCCTGGCTGGGACTGACTATGTGACTTGGGGCAAGACCTCAGCACCTCTGGGCCTCAGGCACCTACTCTGTAAAACGAGGAAGAGGCGGGTGGACCAGAACATTCTTTAGGTCTCTTTCAACTCAAGTCTAACCATGCCCGAGTGAATTTATGATATCTAAGGACAGCAATGGAACCCTGATGCCACTCATTATCTGGCTGATGCTTGAACCCCACCTGCCACATCCCAACTACATGGTTGCCCAGCCTTTACTTGCACACCTCCAGTGACAGGGAGTTCACTACCTCACAAGGCGGCCAACTACATCATGGACCCAACTGATCACCAGCTTTTCTGTGTATGGAGCTAAAATCTCTCAGTGGCTTTTCCCCAGTGGTCATAGTTTACCCTCAAGGACATACGAAATTAGTTTGATTTCTCATCCCCAGGACAAATTACTAGGTATCTGAAGACAATGTACATGGTGTCTTCTCTTGTTCAGACCTGGTTCCTCCCACCATTCCATGCACTGGTTCAACAAAGTAGGGGTGTGGTAGCAAGACTGGAGTTGGGCTGCTCGGGGTGGGGTGGCCAGGGCAGACTTCTAGGAGGAGTTGATTTCTGAGCTGAGACTCAAAGAGGAGCTAGGCGTGTGAAGAGCTGGGAGAAGCGCCTTTCAAACAAAGAGTAGCATGTGCAAAGGCCCACAAAAACTTACCTGGCCACTGAAAGAGGCCAGTCCAGCTGGGGTGGCATGCATGAAGGGGAGTGGCTGACAGGAAGACTAGAGGGCCAGCCAAGGGCTACCTCCTCATGTAGTGCCCCCCGGGGCCAGGGAGGAATTTGGATTGTTCTCAGTGAGATGGAAATTTAACCAGGGTTGTGCCTGATCCCATCTGCATTTTGCATTTTTGTTTTGTTTTGTTTTATTTTTTTGAGACAGGGTCTCACTCTGCCACCTGGGCTACAGTGCAATGGCATCATCATAGCTCACTGCAGCCTCCAACTCCTGGGCTCAAGCGATCCTCCTGCCTCAGCCTCCCAGAATGCTGGGATTACAGGCATCAGCCACTGCCCAGCCAGAATCTCTATTTTTAAGACCCGCCCCTGACCCCAGCTGCTACGGGGAGGGGCTGTGGGCTGAGCGATGGGGGTGGGGGGCAGACCTGAGGAAGACGGTTACCTTGCTGCTCCTGGGAAGCCCCCGGGCTTCGAGTCACAGGCCGTGCAGCCACCACTGTCTCGCACTTGCATGCCAGGTGGTCCTCCAGGGTCACCGTGGCCTTCTTAAACACTGGCTTCTTCCGCACAATCTCGATCTTTCTCACCTGGAGGACAGAACCGCGAGAACACCTCTGTAGAGGCCGTGCAGGCAGCAGGCGGGAGCACCAACTGCCTGCCCTTCCCATCCCACGTCCCTGCCTGGATCTTTCCTCGAAAGCCCAGAGAGCGGCCTTCGGGGCCAGCGCTTTGGCCCAAACAATAGCAGGACCTTGCCCTCTGCCCTGCTCGTAGCTTTTCCATCAAAACAAGCCCTCCCGACCTGCGCCCCTCGGTGCCCCAGAGAGGGAGAGAGGCAGAAAGGCATTTCCGGGTTAGCTGGGGCCTGAGCTATCTTCATTCCACGAGCCAGCGCCAGCCAAGGTCAGGGGCTGCGGCAGAGGCGGGAGGGGGCTGTCTGGAAGGAAGTGGGGGGAGGCCTTATCTAGGAGGGGGGAAGGGGGAGGTCAGCTGTCAGGTGTCCATCCATAGAGCTGGAAGCGCTGGGACAGGAGATTCTGTGGCAGTGGGCGGAGGGTGGGGAGCCCAGGCCGGGGACGGGAGGTGGGCAGGAGGAGCGGCCACGGCGTGACGCTCAGCCCACTGCCCGGCACACGGGCCCTCGGCCGTGCTGGCCCAGGGGTGCAGAAACCTTCCGCACGGGTCAGAAGACAGCAGAGGCTTCGCTGGCCCTGCCCTGCCCAGAGTGTGACTGGGAGCTCCGTGGGACAGTTCCCCTTGACCCGAGTGTCTGTAGCCCCGGTCCCTCCGGAAAGGAGGCAAGGTCAGCATTCAGCTGTCGGCGCGGGGGCTGCCTGTCTCCTGCCGACCTCTCCGCACGCTCCTTGTTAAAGACACGCTTGTCAAAGAGGGATGAACAGGTGTGGGAGATGCAGCGGTGCCCACCTGAGCCTTCTCGAGAGATCTCTGGATAGGGGAGGGCTGTGGGGGAGCCTGAGCAGCTGCCCGGGGCATTCTGAGTGTCAGATATTGTCTGTGGACATGTCTCTTCAAGGGACATTTGGGGATTTTTGTCCCCATACAGGAGGCAGCGATGTCCGTTACTTAATGTCCCACACCTAGCCCTGTCCGTGGCTTTGGTTGCAGTGCCTGGGCCACCTCGGAGGACGCGCGGTCAGCCGCGGCATGCCTGACCATAGAGAGCTTCCCAGGAGTGACCGTCTCCGGACAGAGCCCCGGAACATGCTGGAACGCCTCCCGAGCCCCCAAGGAAGCCTGGTCAGGTCCAGGTCCCAGAAAGGTAGCCCTCGCCCACCCCAGGACCAGCCTGGGGGGCCCGGGCCTGCGCACCTGGACAGGCCGCAGCTGCACCTGGGTGGCGCGGCACTGCACATTGCGGTTGTTGCAGCAGCCGGAGCAGCGCTGCACCTCCACGCAGGGCGGCCACACCAGGAAGTTGGCGTTGCTGCGGTCCACGAGGCGCCGGGAGATCTCGAATACCTCCGTGCGCGTCTTGCACTCGGCGATCATGGCTGGCTCAGCCACAGTCAGGGAGCCTGGAGCAGGAGGGGACCTCTGTCAGGAGTGTGGCCGGCCCAGAGCCCCCACCTGGCAGGGAGCTCAGCGGGTGCTCTTTCTCCCTTCCTTTAGCCTCAGGCTTTAGGTTCCAAGTCCTGGCTGCCATCAGCCATGGGACTCGGGCAGGTGGCTGAGCTGCTCTAAGCCTCAGTTTCCCCATCTGCAAAATGGGGATGATAAGATCTACACCCCAGAACCACTGTCAGGATCAAGCGAGATAATTCAGACTGTGGCCTGCCCTAAATGTTCACTAAATGTCCACTTCCTTGAGCTGGCACATGGCCACTTCGTCATTCTTTATGGTTTCACAGTTACGGGGTTTGCCCGACACATGGCCCTCATACATGTACTGTATTTTCTCCTAACCACTCTTGCATGGCCACCGTACGTGGCAATCTACTCTTGCATTGTTGCTGCTGTGACAGCCTCAGTTTCCTCATCTATGAAATGGAATAATAACAGTGCCAGTGCCTCACCTGTGGCTCTGAGGGGTCATGTGAGCAAACCCAGGCCTACAAGTGCTGGGGCTGTTGTCGTTATTCAAACCCAGAGAAACCGAGGCTCTGAGAGCTAAATTAACCTACCCAAATGCACACATGGAGGAATGGAACCCAGGTCACCGGACTCTTCCATAGGTTCCCCCAGCCACTGTCTACAGTGCTTTGGGGACTGCATGTGGGCAAGAGAAGGAAGGGCTTGGGTGGGCTCTGGCCTCACCTGGGAAGTCTCCTCTGGGCCCTAGTGGTCCGGAGTCTCTTTCCAGTGTGCGAGGGAGCAGGAGGCAGTCCTGGACTCCGCCACGTCTACCCCCACCCCGCAGCCACAGTGGAGACACGCAGTCCACCAGGGATAGCACTGGGCTCAAGGGGCAGGGGCTGGTTGGGATCCTGGCCATGCCACTTCCTAGCTGGGTGACCTCCCCTACTTCTTCACCCTCTCTGGGCCCCAGTTTCCAATTCTGTGAAATGGGGTTAATAGTATTTGCCTCCAGGGTTGAAGCAAGGAACAGTTTCAAAGCACTATATTTAGAAAACAGCAGTGTAGGGGCGAGGGGGTGTGATGACTCAAGTCCTCAGCAGCGGGTATTTCAGGATGGATATACTCTCTTAGTCGACGCAGTCCCAAGTGTGGGGGGAAAGGGAGTTTTAAGACGACCCTCGGAGCCCTCAGGCTTGGCTGCCTGCCCCGGTTCTCCCTCCCTGGCTCCCCCTTTGAGGGGCCCCGGTGCAACCCCCAGTCTCACCCAGGCTTCTTCTCCCCCGGGCCAGGCTCTCCAGCTCGCCTCCGGAATGGGACCGGGTCATGTTCAGGTCCAACTCGGCCCCATCTTCATCTGCGGGAGAAGACACAGTCAGACACCCCATGGACACTGCCGTGGCCCCACCAGCGGGGGCTCCATGAAGGCAGGAGGCTCACCTCCCCCGACTCCAGAGAACAGTGCCCCTGCCAGCCCTGGGACCCCAAGATCCTGGATCCTGGCTCTGAGGAGGGGCCCTCCAGGCATACCCCAGGGCAGTCACAGGGCTGGGGTGGGAGACCCTGGCTGCACCCCTCGGCTCTTTGGCCACATTGTTGGCCAGAACCCATGTCAATGGAGTTAAAAATAACCCTTCCCCTTTGCTACTGTAAGCGAACCCTCCTCGGCCTCCAGGGTGGGGCAAGGACCCAGAGCACTAAAGGCCAGTTTCCAGCGCCCCTCCACCCAGCGTTCCCATAGGAAGTGCTGAATGGAGAAATTCCCAGAATCCCCAGGGGGCCCGGCCTGCCCTGGACAGCCCGCTGCAGCCCGACCAGGGCCTGCTGGGCGGAGCGAGGGGTATGGGGAGGGGCGCCCTGCGCACGTGCCCCCCAGGGCCTGGGCTCCCTCCTGCTCGTCTCTAATTGTTCCGCTCTCCCTCTCTCTAAGCCATCACACCCCTTCTGCCCCAAGGTGTCCATTTGCTCCCAGGCCACAGATCACAGCTCCCTTCTCCAGCCTGCTTGGGTCTCGCCACCAGCACTCCCTGGAGGCACCGGCCGCTCTAGAGCCGCAGAGGCTGGTGGTTGGGAAGCGAGGACTGGAGGGCAGACTTCGAGTCAGATGCCGAATCCTAGACAGACCTTCCGTCTCCCTCACGGGTGAGGCGCCAGCAAGCACGCTAAGGGTGCTGGGGACAAGCTCCTGCCACCCCTCCCGCACCCCTTGGCTCATACTCTGGCCCTGACCCGCTGGCCCGTCCGTCCAGGGCCCTGCACGGAGCCTGGTGACTGGTCCGTTTCCGTCCAGCCTGACAGCTCCCACGTCAGCCTGTCTGTCTGTCCCTCTGGCTCCCTTCCTTTCTCCCTGCCATCTCTGGAATGTCCCTGGTGGGGCGGAGATGGGGAAAAGATGTGCTTTGTGGAAAGGTTAAGTCGATTAGGAAAAAATAGCCACATGGTTGCCTCGGAACAGGCCTGCTATTGAAAGCCTCATCGCCGAGACCCGACCCCCACCAGGGGTGTGGAGGGGCTGGCCGAGGGGGGGGGGCGAAGCGCCCTGGAAAGAAACGGCAAAAAGGCTAAATTTGGAAGTTGCCCCATTGTGTGGCCAGGGCCAGCGGCCGGGCATGGGGTGGGGGTGGTGGGAGACGTTGTCGGGTGGGGGCCCTGGTGAACAATAGGTGGGCCCAGCTGGGCCCCCTCCTGCCTGCCTCGCCGCCCCCCAGCATGGGAGGGATTGAAAGGGCCCGGGAATGCTTTTGAGAGGGCGCCAGGGGCCCAACGGGGAGAGGAAACAAAGGCAGGAAATGCTGTTCCCCCGTAGATAGCGTCTGGGCAAGGATTACAAAGTGACAAAGAGACAGAACCCCAGAGGGAAGGGGACCTGGGGGTGCAGGGGGGCTGCCGACCAGGGCTCCAGGGAACAGGCCAGAGGTTAGAATAGAATGGAATCTGCTCTGAAGACGGCGTTTATAAATACATTCCCAGTCCAGCCCGCCAGCCCCGCCACGTGTGTGCCACCGAGCACGTGCCCATTTGCTGAGCATGCTCTTGGGCACGGGCATGGCTGCCCGCTGGTCGGGACCAGGTGTCCCCGGGAGACCTCGTAGACTAGGCCCTTGGCCAGAGGGGCGGGGAGATGGCTCCGTCGGCCCCACCCTCCCTGGCTGGCTCCACACCTGGATACGTCCATACACACATGGGTGCCCTGGGCACCTTCTCCCTGCCCGCCCTCCTCCCAGCACCCCACCCTAGGCGGGAGCCACACACGGGCACTTCTCCCGTCACACCCTACGACCCAGGTACCAACCCGTCTGCCTACTCAGCCCTGCCCTGCACGGGTGTGGCCGGGCCTCTCTGGGCTGCCAGGGCCTCTGGTTCTCGGGTGTCAGGGAAGAGGGGGTGCCTCCTGCCCTGCCCCTCCTGACTCCCCTTGGGGCTCAGCAGAGGGCCAGAGCACTGGACAAGGATTCAATTTACCTACGGAGTCTCCGTGCAGCAGGCGCTGGAGGTCATCAAAGGAGCGGATAGAGTGGTCACTCAGCATCTCATAGAGCTCCTCGGGAATGGGGTCCCCCTGCCAGGCAGACACCACGTGAGAAGCTGCGAATGGGGCTTCCCAGCCACCGATCGCCCCCACCACACACCTTCTCCAGCCAAAAGTTTGCACAGGGCCCCGAGGTCACAGGCAAATGACAGCCAGGCTGAGGACAGGCAGGACCCAGGCCTGACAACCAGAGCCACAAAGGCCTGAGAGCCTGCACCTGCCGAAGCCTCTGAGACCAGCGGTGCCCCCACAGCCCCCCCAGCAGGAATCCCAGCCTGCTCCACGGTGGACTTGCTTGTCCATGTCTGTCTCCCCATCACACTACAGGTGCCGGGAAGGCGCCAAAGATCTGATTCCTCTCCGCTGCTCCCTCCAGACCTGACAGCTAATGACAGCAGCATTAGACAGGTGATCTAATTCCCATTTCACAGATGAGAAAACAGAGGCTCAAATAGGGGACCTCCTTTGCCCGAAGTCCTAAGTCACTTATCAGCAGAAGCTGCATTGAAACCCAAGCTTTTGTGATGCAGAGCCTGTACTCCCAGGCCCCTGGGGACAAGAGGTGCTTAATCAATGCGTGCAGAAGGGTAAGGTCCCAGGAGGCCACATGTTCTAGCAGTATCTATGTAGTCTCCCACTTGAAAGAGGAGAAAAGGGAACCCTCACATACAGCCGGGAGACCTGAAAGCTTACCCCTGCTCCGTGCCCAACCAAGCCCTATTTTTAGAGCCCCTCTGGCCTGTTACCAAACACACTCGAGACTTGACAAGTGCTTTAACAGGCCTCACTGGGAGCCAGGCTTCCTCCAGGGAAACCGCAGGTCCCACAATGACACGAGAGCAGCCCGACAGGAAGGTCACTGCCATGGCCCCCACGGTCCTGGGAGCCCCGGGGGGCTGATGCCAGAGTTCTTGAGAAAGAGGTGAGCACAGCTGGGAGACCAAGAGGCACAGTCCAGACCACCAGCCACCGGGGACAAAGAAAACGCGTAGGACGTGGCTGCGTGTCCGAAGGCTCGGACCCAACTGACACGCGTGCACACGCGTGCACGCCCACACTCGAGTGCAGGCACAGGCACGCAGGGCCGAGGGGTCTCGGGAAAGAGCCTTGGAGAGGGATTAAGCAGGCTCAGCTCACTACTGTGAGTTAAACCAGTCTGTGCCTCAGTTTCCCTGAATTAAAAAGAGAGGAATCCTCCAGGGACTGAAGTTCTCAGAGGCTTAGCAGAGGCTACCTCCGGGGAGGGGACGCTGCTCTCTCACTGCTGATGCAGGGAGAGGAGGTCATCTCCCCCCAAAAGCTGTTTCCTGGACGCGTATCATGGCATTTGGGAAAACTCCTCTAGGGGCACAGTCATGTCCAGCTCTGGCCACCCATATCGACCTGCAGCTAGAAGACACAGGGTGAGGGCGGGTGTGACCACTTTTAAAGCTACACAATTCCTTGAAAGCCCTGCCTTGGTTTCTTTGTTTGAACGTGGAGCTTATAGCCCCGCCTGGTGTCTTCAAGCTGTTGGGAGGCTGGAGGGAGGAGAGGCTGGGACGCCTGGCTGAGAGCCGGGTCTCCCTTCAGTGCCTACGGCTGCACAGTGAGCGGCCGGGGGCCACGTGTGCGAGGTGGGGGGCCCTGTCCCCCTAACTTTCCTCCCCCATCTCCTCCAGGCTCTGCCTCCTCCCTCCCCAGAAGAGAGACGGCGCCTTGGGTGTTCTCCAAATGTTGACAAAGTACCCAACCCACAGAACCAAGGCTGCGGCTGGTCTCCAGCGAACGCCAGGCAAGGCGCCGCCCTGGAGGGCTTTGTCAAACCCAGAACTGGCGGTCCAGAGGGCTGGATCCCACGCCCGGTGCTGCTACCAACAGCATGTGACCTCAGGCTGCTCACTGCCCCTCTGTGGTCCTGCTCTCATCTGTGAATCGAGGGGGCTGAGGAACATCTGATGTGATTCTAACTCCTCCAGGGGGTGTCAGAAGGAGCAGAGGAAAGCCAAAGCCAAGGTGCCCAGCCAGGCCGCCCTCGCTCACTCACAGAAGGGGAACAAAAGTGTTCGTGGAGTAAAGATTCAATTAGCTCCCCAAGGGAGGGGTGCAAGGCCTAATACCAAATGGCACTCAGTGCTTGTGCCAAGACCTGTTTGCCCACTGGAGAGCTGGTTGCAGCGGCCAGCTGTGGCAGAGAAGGGAGACCCTGAACAGTCCTACTGGACCCCCAGACCCAGGCCCACAATGCAAAGGAGATGACGTCTTAAGAAGCAAATTCAGACCCTCTGAGGCTGAGTGGGGAAGAGCCAAGGACAGAGACTGGGGAAGTGGGAGGAGCACATAGTAGGTGCTCAATAAATACTGATAACATGTACAAGGCGACTGCCCTTTTCCCTGGGGTTCTCTCCAGTGTGATTCTTCCCCCTCCTCCACCAGGAGGGCCACCTGGGATATTCTTCCCCCTGCCCCAAGCAAACTACCTTATTCTAAGCAGAGACGCCATTCCTGCATAGGTTCCTGGGAATTGGGCCACTAGATGCCTAGAACTCACTGTAAGCCCCTGGACTTGATAATAATACCACAAGTAACATTTCTTAAGCGCTGACTATGAGCCAAGCACTGAGCGAAATGAGAAACTGCCCAAACTCCCAACCTAAGAGGCTGCACTGTCCTTAGCCCCATCTTCCACAGGACAAAACTGAGCCTTAAAAACATTAAACAAGCAGCTACAGGTCTACGCTACCAGTCAGTGCCAGAGCTGGGTCCTTCCCAGGCTCCAGGACGCACACCACGGAGCTTCTCAGCCTCCTTCCCCTGGCTCAGGACCCCTGGCCCTCAGCGTCATCTGAGGCCCGTGCTCGCTCCTCTCCCCTGTGGCAGGCCATACGCATCGGTGGTTCTCAACCGTCTTGGGCCCGCAGGGCACACTGGCAATGCCTGAAAACAGTTTTGGCGGCCCCAAGTGGGGCGTGCTGCTGACATCTAGCAGCCAGTGGCTGGGGTGCTGCTGGGCACCTAAGCATGCACGGGACAGCCCCACGGGAAAGCTGCCCCAGACGTCAGCGGCGCAGAGGCTGAGAAACCCTGAGAGCAGGGCTTCAGTCGCCAGGGAAACCTGGGTTCCTGGAGTATTTTAACTGTCTAAACCCTCGGCTTCTGGATCTTCTAAATGGGGCTAACCATACCTCACCTGGGCATACTACGCCCGCATAATGGCGAGTAGCAGAGCAGCCAGCAAACAACGGGTACTGGATGAGCTGTTACTGGCATCGTCATTAATTCCTTCAGGATGGCTGTCTTGTGGGCAGCGGCAAGTGGCACACGTGCCCTGCGCCAGAGGCACAAGACACTTTTGAGGATGGCAAGGAGTGGGTGGAGAGCTGCCCACTCACGGGACAGTGTGCGGCCTCACATTTTCCCTTGTGCTGGGCCACAGGAAATGGTCCCCTACCTCCACACTGGCACCGCCTGGGGCCGTGTGGGCTGGCGGGTCCCTTCCGGCACTGGGGGTGGGTGAGAGGGGGGGACATTCGGCCTGCGGTCAGCTCCAGGATGCGATGCCCTGGGGGAGACGTGCAAGGCACCTGCTTGGAGTCAGAGGCTCCTCGTGGTGGGGGAGGGGGAGCTGCCTGGAGCCTCGTTGTCCTGTGCACAAGGTCTGGAGGGCTCCAGGTGGGCCCTCCCCTCAGAGATGGCAGAGGGGCCCAGCACCCTGAAGAAGCTGCCCTGCATCGCAGGCCTCGGGGTGCTGGTAGGGCGAGGGCGTGGCAAGGAGGCAGCTGGGGCGAAGCCAGCCCTGGGAGCCAAGGCAAACAGCCTCCTCCCCGCCCCACCCCCAGTGCCAGCTGCGGGAGCTAGGAAGGGCACGAGCCAGCGTGAGGCCAGGTGAATTATCTGCTCCCAACCAGGCTGGCAGATCAAAGGGGCTCGAACCCCACCCTGCTCCTGGGCCCCAGCACACACACACACACAGATTTACATTCCCGGCCGGCCTGCCGATCCCGCTGGGGAGACACAGCGCTGGAGCAGGGCGTTGTCTGTGGCTGGCAGAGGAAGAGGCTGACAAGGCCTCGCCGCGCCGGCCTGCCTGAGCGTAGCAGGCCTGATTTAGATCAGATGCCAAAGCCAATCCCTTTGAAGAAGCCCTCTCTGGGCAAACCACAGAAGCCATTTAGAACCAGCTTTTCCCACCTAGCATTTCCCTATCTAATTGCTTCTGGGACCCTCAGATCAGCCTCCCCCTGCCTCACATTAGCTCAGCACACCGGCCGCCCCCATCTCTTGCTAGGGCAGAGAAAGTGTTACAGCGGAAAGAGAGGCTCCAGGCCGGCCACGTACGATCCTGGCAGCCACTGCAGTGGCTCCCCCACCACGCCCCCACCCCAGCCCGAGAGGCTGGGGGACTCTGCCGTTCTAAGCCAATCCGACCTTGTCATTTTTTTTAGACTGTGGAAACTGAGGCCCAGCTAAAGATACACAGATCCTTCGAAGTCCAGTTTTCCTTCTCTTCCTTCCCCTCTGTTGTGCTAATCCTGGCAGCCCAAGTCCCAAGACAGGGAAGAGAAAGACATGCTTGTCTCAAGATAGGGGGGTCTTGAAAGGCTGAGACCTGCTGGAGGGCAGTGTGGCCTCGAGGGGGGGCTGGCCTCAGGCGAGGAGTCAATGAAGCCACTGCTCGTAAAGCACCTGGGGCTGGCCCCTCCCCGCCCAGCATTCACTACCCTCTGCACAAATATTTACCCATTGTCTACCCTGCTCCAGGCACTGTCCTAACAGTGGTGACCAGGACAAGAGCTCTCTAGCCCAGTTGACACTCCAGCGGGCAAAGCAGATAATAAACAACTAAATAAACCAGAAAATGGAAAGAGTTGCAACAGGAGGAGCAGCTCAGTGGGGGGAAGGGAAGACAAGGACTGTAAGACTTTATGAGGCCATGGTAAGCACCTCGCCACTCCTGCCCAATCCATCCCCTCACCCGTACGCGTATGTACACACACACACACACACACACACACACACACACACACACACACACACACTCTTCCAGCTCTGGGACTGGAGCCCCCAAATTCTGCTTGACCGGACCTTACACACCAGCAGGGCTCGCGGACTCCAGCAGTTGGTCTCCAGCCCCCAAAGACCATTAAGAGGAAGCTGGGTGGGGAATGGCCGTGGGCCCCCTCACTCCTTAGCAGAAGGGTGCTGAGGCCGGAGGTATCACATGACAGTGAGAGTCATCCTCCTGGACGTCAGTTCAGCTGGTGGAGACGGCACCTCACAGGCCTCTCCACAGACCCTCAGAGCCCCCCCAGCCCCTAGCTGCTGAGGCCTCCACCTAACACAGTCCAAGCATGCCTGGGGACATGGCTACCTCCAAGGCCACCTCCACCAGCAAGTCCTCCCAGAGTCTCCCAGCACTGGCAATCTGGAGCTCCTTCCTGGACCAACCCCATGTGGATCTGGTTCCCATTTAAGCTGGCTCCCCCTGGGCCAGCCTGAGGCTCCCCCAGCCCCAGCGGGAAAACGCTTCCTAAACTGCAAACTGTGTGTTCAAGGATGCTACGACTAAAGCGAGGAGACAGGCAGTGCTGGCCACAGTCTCCACCCAGATGCACAGGCCCCGAGCTGTGGGAAAGGAGGAGGAGGGGCTGCACTGAGCTGGAACGGTAAGGGAGGCGCCGCGCTCTCCAGGGCCTGCTGGCACCAGCAATGAGAATAAAATAGGCCGGGTGGGCGCCCCCTCTGCAGGCGCAAGGGCCTGCTAAAATCCCTCCAGTCTCGGGGTAACAGGGTTTATTTGAAGGGAGGACTGCTCTGGACATCCCAGAGCCCCTCAGAGTCGCATCAACACCATCTGAGGCCATGGCTGGGAAAAGGCAAGAAAGAGGAGGAAGGATTGAGAACCGTCGGGCTGACCCGACTAGGCAAAAAAAAAAAAATAGTGTAGCTGTGGAGCCCTCCCTCCCTCACAAGATCCCAGGAAGGAAATGGGGTCGCTGCAGAGGTGGTGCCAGGGCCCACGGTGGGGCCACCTGTTGCGCGGGGGCGAGCACCAGGCGCTAGGTGCCCGAGGGCCATGCGTGCCTGTGTACGTGCGTGGGTGTGCGCGCACGTGAGCTCAGGCCGCGTGTGCAGGGGCGGTGCGTGCGTTCGTGTGCGGTGCGCGCGCGTGTGTCCCGCGTGTGCACGGGCGTGGCGGTGGCGGGCGCGCGACCCGGCCGCGGTAGTGCGTGCCCGTCGCTCTGCGCGCCCGCCCGCCGGAGCGCAGCATCGCCTCCGGCCAGGAGTGTGCATGCGTGGGGTGAGTGAGCGAGTCGGGGGCCGGGCGGGGTGGGCTGCGGAGAGCAGCCGCGGGGCGCTGCCGTTCCCAGGACGCCCTGGCACCGGGCCCAACCCCCAGGTCCCACGGTGAGGCGAGGCGGCAGCTGGGGCCGGCCGGCGCCCCCCTCCCCAACAGCTGGCTGCGGCCCTGGGGTCTGCGGGAGAGGCGGGGAGGGGGCGTCGGGAGGGGCCTGCAAGCCGCCTGGCCGAGCCCCGCGTCTTCCCTCCCGGGTGCTGGCCGCCGGGGGTGGCCGCGGAAGGGCGGGGCCCCAGGGCGGACGGCCTGCGGCCCTCGAGGAGCCCCGAGAACAAAAGGAGACGGCGACGGCGGCTCAGTGGTCAAAACAACCTGCGCTGGCGGCGGCCCAAGGCCCGGCCGCGGCCTCGGAGCCCTCCGCCTTAACCCCTTCGCCGCCACTGCGCCTTTCCTGTGCCTCGCAGGAGGCCGACCCTCCTCGGGAGCCGGCGAGGTGCCTGCTAGGAATGGGCTCCCGGCCGCAGTCGAGCGGAGGTGGGACGGGACCCAGGCACGCCGCTCGCCCTGCTGTCCTCTGGTCCCCTCCACCTCGCGCCTCCTCCCTGCCCCGCCCCCTTTCCCACCTGGATTCCGGATAGACTTGCCAACTCACTGCTACGTGAGGCTGGGAGGGGTGGGGGGGACTGATCCGACCTGGTCGCTCCCGCAGACGTCTCTATATACTACCTCCCTTGCAGCTAGGCTTTTGCAGGAGCGTTCCGCACCGTTCATGCGGGGGAGATAGGTGCTTCCTCTCGCAGGGCGAGGGCACAGGTATGGCGGGGCCGCAGGCACACACCGCCCCGGGGGCTGGATTCCTTAAGAGTCTCCAGTCCTCTACCTAGCCCGAATGCCAGAAACCTACCAGTGTCTGTCTGTCTGTGTCTCTCTCTCTTGCCCTCCACCACCGCCCCCCCACCTCACGCCCCAGACACAAGCTGCTCCTGGACCATGCTCCGGGCCAGGCTTGCCCTACGCAGGCCCCAGGGCGCCCACCTCCACCTGGAGCGGCAGCGAGGGTGGGACCCGAACCCCGCCAAAGGTCGGCGTGGATGCCGCAGGTGCGGGAGCTCGCACCTCCTGGGCAAGCCGGTGCCTGGACCGAACCTAAGCCCAGGGTCTGGGCTCAGGAGTACGCGCTGTCTTTTGCACCCTTGGCACCACCCCACCCCCTCTCCCCCTGCCGGGAAGGGGCTTATTCTTGGGCTCCTGAGGGGTGGGGGGCAGGGCCACACACCCCCTCCGCAGACCCCCAACGGCTTAGGGATCTAGGCTCGCCCACTGGAAAGCGAGCCACCGTTGCCCTCTTCCCCTAGCACCTCCCGGACCTCGGAGTCCCAGCCCTAGGTCACCCAGCACCTGGCGCCAGGCTCACAGGCTGCAAGGGTCCAAAAGTTCACTGCCGGGAGAGGAGGGGGCGGTCAGAAGGTGGGGGTGAAGGCAATGAATGAAGAGCCAGCCCCAGCCACCGTGGCGACTTACCTCGGCGCTGACCAGACGCAGGTAGCAGCAGAGAGACAGGAAGAGCGCCCAGCAGCGATTCATGCCGGCTCCGGGCCCGGCCCCACGGGGCCCCGGACGTGTAGACCGAGCGCGCCGCCCCCGCGGCCAGGGTGGGAGGCTGGGGAGGGGGGTGGGCTCGGCTCGGGTCCGCAGCGATCAGGCGCTCAGGCCGCTGCAGCCGCCGCTCACCCGCATGGCCCCCGGTCGCCGCCGCCCCCGGCCCCGGCTCCGTCGCTGGGGGGCTGGGGAGGACCTGGGCGCGGGGACCAGGGTCCGAGGCCGCTACCTGGGCGGATCCCGAGCCCGAGTGAGCATCCACGGCCGGGGGGCTGCGTCGCGAACCAGCCGAGGCGTCTAGCCGTGTGGGGGCGCCCAGGGGACTCCAACCTCCAAGAGGAAAAGGAACACGGCAGTCGATGTTTCGTCTTCACTCGCCGGCTAAAGGCGTTTTCCTCTGCCCGCCGGCTTAGCTTTTTTACATTTTCTGGAAAGACCCCCAAAATCGCAAAGCGCAGAGCTGGGCACCTCAAGGCTCAAGTCTCCCCGAAAAAACTTTTTCCAAAGTTGGCTTTGCAGCAGCGGCCCGAGCACCCGGGCAGGGAGAGGTGCAAACTCCCGCCCGGGCCGGTGGGGGGGCGGGAGCGTGTGCGCCCTGGCGCGGGGCCCGGGCGGCGGGCACGGCTGCTCCGCGCGCACGGCGTGCCCGCTGCGCGCTCGGCCGGCCCGGCCGACAGGTGGAGGCGGCGCGAGTCCGTCGGTCCTTCTGCCGGCCGCTCGCCGCTCCGGGCGTCCTCTGCGGCTGCGAGCTGCGGGCTGCGGCTGCTCCGGCTTTCTCTTTGCAACGAGGCAGGAGGGTGGGCTTTTTTTTTCTTTTTGCGCGTGTGTGTATGTGTGTGCGCAAAATATCTCTATCTCGGGGATGAAAAATGGGCGCTGGCGGCCGGAGGGGAGCCCTGGAGGAGGTAGGGGGGAGGCTGCGGGCGCGGGGAGGCAGGCCGCTCCGGCTGCAGGAGGAGAAGTTGCCACCCTTTCAGCTGTTCCGGCCTTTATAAAGGAGAAGGGAGAGTGCGAGAGGTGGGTGGAGACAGCCTTTCCTCTTCTGGCCGGGAGTCAGCGCCGGGAGGGGGGCAGGAGCTGGGGAGGGCCTGGGGCGAGGGTGGGGCGCTTCGGGGTCTCAGAGCCAGGCAGCCCCTCTTTCCATGAATCTGGCCCCAGGAAAAGAACTAGAAGTGGCCAGCCGCCCCGCCCCTCATCCCTCAGCACAGTGACCGTGGACAGATTAGGAACCCATTGAGAGATGTCTCCAGGGCCAAGGCCAGGAGTCCCAGCCTCCCTCCAGGACCAGACACTTGCATCCTGGCCCAGGCATGGCGGGAAAGGACTCAGGCTCTGCAGCCAGATAGCTTGGGGTCAGATTCTCCACCGGCACTGGGTAGCATGGGTCACCTTGGGCAAGTCACTTTCCTTCTGTGCTCCTCCATCTAGCCTCAAAGTGGGCGGAGGGTTACTGTGAGGAGGAAATGCCAGAAAGGGCAAAACAGCACCATGAGGCAGCACAGGAAACCCGCAGCCAGTGCCGTTCAGCTGCAAGCCGGGTCCGCGTCTCCTCCTCCTAGCTGGTTGCCTGGCACACCGCAGGCACTGCCAGCGTTGGCTGGATTTGAATTTGTTGAACTGCAAAGTCACACAAACCCCCACAGCCCTGCCGCGTCCTCGCAGGGCTACCAACACGATCCTCCCGTCACCCTGATGTTTACTATCTCCCTCAGCCCCCAGGTGCGGGCCGGGGCCCACCCACCCACGCCAGCATTGGCACAGTTAACGCCTTCCACCCCCAGCCAGGGAGCCGCTGTGTCCCTGCCTTCAGCAGTCACACTGTCACAGCCACGGAGTCACACATACTCACACTGAGCCCAGCACCCACCTCGGGCTCCTGTGTCTCCCAGCCTTCTGGCGTTAGGCTACCTTTACCTGATCTGCCTGTGCTGTTTCTGTCGTCGGCCCTTGGTACCCAGTCACACCCATTTGGGGTGTCAGCCTGCCCCTCACACACGGGCGCTGAGAGAGTCACAACATAAAGGCCATCTCCTTATAAACTGTCGGCTTGGACCTGGACAGCGTGGGGCAGAGCAGGGGGGACAGGCACCCACCGTCTGCTGACCACCCGGCAGCTTGGCACGGTGGCCAAGAGGCAGCCTGGGGACACTTCACCTAGGTCCAAATCCTGGAGTGGCCGTCTGCTCAGCACTGGGAAGGTTATTTTACTTCTCAGCGCCTCGATTTCATCGTCTGTAAACTGGAGATGAATAAATCTGTAATCGGAGGCAGGGAGGGATTTCAGAGAGGCATGGGAAAATCTTAGGGGTGAGGGAAATGTCTGTCATGGGTGATTGCGGTGGTAGTTTTACAGGTGTACACGTGCATCAGAACCGCTATGCCTAGCTTATCGTGCCTCAGTACAGTGGTGGGGGATTTCTGCCAGCCTCACAGAGTGGTCTGGGGGGCCAGAGGTCATCCGCCGGAGGCCTTAGCAGGAAGAGACACAGTGTCCAAGCGTTCACTAGTGGCCGGGCACTGTTCAGGCACTGGGGGGACAGGAGGGAGCCAGCCATGATGCCAGGACATCTGGGAGAAGAGGAATCTCCCTTGTCCTCGTGCCTTGGAGGAGCCACCCTGGAGGACAGACAGATGTATAAACAGGTAAATTAGGAGACAGGAGGACAAGGGAGATAGGGAGAGGGTGGGGAGATAATCCCAAAACACTAGATTCAAAGTAAAGACTCAGAGATAAAACCCTGTGTAACTGGATAGCTGGGTGATCTTGACCTTGAGCTTCTGTGTCCTTATCTATAAATTGAATGATAATGGCTGCCATTATTGTTGAGCTAGCTATGTGGTAAGCAGTATTCTTCTTGCTCTACCTGTAGCCTCTCAATGCTCCTGTGAGGTAGATTACTCCTCTCTTACAAATAGGGAAATTGATGCCCAGAGAGGCTGAGCAAGTTTTTCAAGGTCACACAGCCAGTAAGCGGTAGGGCCAGGACTTGCCCCCAAGCAGTCCAGCTACGGAGCACACATACTTACACCACCATTCTGGCAGGTAATGATGATGATGATGTCAACAATGACACTGTTTACATGGCTTTTGTGAGCGTCACCTGCATTAATATACGTGAAAGTGCTTTGCCAACTAGAAAGTGCTGTACCAGTGTGAGTTCTGAGTCAGGTATAAAGTGCTATAGGGCCACAAAGGAGGAAGCACACAGCCTGGCTTTAGGGGGTGGATGAGGGTGAGGAGGCAGGGGAGCTGCTTGGAACAACATCATTGAGCACCACTGTGTGCAGACCTTGTGTGGAGAACTGACAAATGAAATGAGAAAGGAGACCTAGTCTTAGCACTCAGGAACCTTCCAGGCTCTTGAGTGAGATAGACACAAGTCACTACAATCTAGACGTCTCTGTACACGGGCCAGAAGTGGCAGGACCGGGACCAGCAGAGGCAGCAGGGAATGCATGGCACCTGGGCCTGAATGCCATGCTAAGGAGAACCCATTTCCTGTACTCTCTCATTGCAGGCAAGCAGTTTCTAAAGAACAGCTCCTCCTCCTCCTACCATGCTTGGCTTAGTGGACACCTCCTCCAGGAAGCCTGCCAGCCTTGGAGGGCCTACAGCATCTGCCCCATGGTGGTGTCGGTGCCCATTTATCAGGCTAGCACTAGACTGGGACTGGGTTCGGGGTGAGCCTCATGCCAGCTCCCAGCATACATAGGTGCTCAGTAAACATCTGCTGAAGGAATGAATAAATGATTAAAACTCTTGCCTATTTCTTCCTCTGAGTCCCGGCCAGTTGTGGCAAAGATGTCGAGCCCTTCCTAAAGGGTGGAAAGCTGTGGACGGGGCTTATAGCGTGAGTCTCCGAACTTGGAAGCACAGGCCCCTGAGGGCACCCCCTCAGAGTCCCAGGGAAGAGTCCCAAGGGCTCAGAACCAGGAGGGCCCAGCCCATCTTCCGCACTGGGGCCACTGAAGAATCAGCTTCTCCAGTAGGGCTAGAAGTGGTTTGCTGCCCGTGGTGTGGAAGCCACACCCCTGCAACTCTCCACCCCTCACCCCCATGATACATCATAGCCCTCGGGGAGGTGCTGGGGCAGGGGCTGCGCAAGGCCAGAGTGTTGGGGGGCTATCTAAGCCCTCATCCATTGCAAGCATCTTACGGGGGTTGCAGCCCAGGACCCTGGCAGGGCGAGGAAATACCAAGGAAGGGGTTGGGTTCAATCCCAGGGCAGACTCATGCCCTCAAGTCTAGAAGGGTAGGGATCGCTGGGCTGGCGACCTCCACTCTGCCAGGAGGGCGCTGGCAACACCTGTGGCAGGCAGGTTTGCTTCCCCCTGCTTGATGGAGGAGGACGTGGGGTCCCAACTGGGGACAGTCTTAGGCCATGCCACAAGTGGTCCAAGACTTTAGCCCTGGGCTGTACGGTGGCAATGCCCACACCCTACCCCGTTCCACGTGGCCTCCAGCAGCTCCTCCAGACCCTGCTGTCCCAGCCCCACCCCCGTCTCCAGGGTCTCTGGCTGTCCTTAAAGCACCTCCTTGCCCTTTGCCCTGCTTTACCCTCACAGCACCTTCCCAGGGAGGAAGGTGGTACCATCGTGTGTGCCCATTGTGCAGATGAGGAAAATGAGGCTCCGAGAAGGCAAGGGACTAGGCTTCCCATCAAAGACCACCTGGGTTCAAAGCCCTGCTCTACCATCTCCTGGCTCTGTGACCTTGAGCAAATTATCTTACCTTCCTGAGCCTCAGTTTCCTCATCTGCAAAATGTGGGTAATAATAGTAGCCACCTCACTGGGTTAAGTGAGTTAAGATATCTGGACTGTTGAGGCATGGAGTGAGCACTCCACAAGCTTTGGTCACCGTGGTCATTATTACTCACGGAGTGCACACACACACACACACACCCCCACATGTGAACCTGCCTCTGCACTCCAGAGCCAGGAGAGGGGCCTAAGGCTGGGAAGGGCTGCAGGACTTCACCTGGAGGGGGAGGGGGTGGCCTCCCGTGGAGCCCACACCCTGACGAGGCCCTGGCCATCGCAGCCGTGAGTACCAGGAAGGCAGAAGAGGAAACCCCAGGAAGACACAGACCCCCAGGCCCAGGCCAGCCTGGAGGAGCCCACCCTGCAGCCTTGGGCCTTGTCCTGTACACAAAGGCGAGGGAAGCGCAGTGTTTGTTTTCCTGGGGCCGAGCCGAGGCATTTTTAGCTTCTCCAGGCTCCAGACGAGGAAGAGGATGTTTGGACGGGCAGCTCGGACCTACCTGCCCTGGAAGCCGGCTGGAATCGGAGCGAAGCCCTCCTGGGGTGAGGGAGCTGGGCCAGACAGGCTGGAAAGCAGCCCCACCCGGGGCTTGTGCTGGGCCACCCCCCACCTTTCCCACGAGAAGGCGCATCCTCACTGCCCCGTCCGCTGCTCACCTGCTGGGCCTCCAGTGCCCAGATACAGCCGGCTCCTTACGGGCACTCACGCTGGGCCAGGCACTGCCCTGAATGACAGCCCAGCAGGGAGGACAATGATTGCCATTTTCCCAGCAGAAAGGGAGGCCGGCAGAGCCCTCCCCTCCTGGAGGGCGGGTGCTCTGGTGTTCATCTCTGGGGGAGCGGAGTCTGAGGCTTAGAGAGGTTCGCCAGCATCACCCAGCGAGGAAGTGGCAGTGCCAGGATTCAATCCAAGACTGCGATGTCCAAGCCCACGCTTTTGCCACCTCCCTGTCACATGATGCCTCCCGGTGTGGCCAGGATCGGAGCTGCCCAGGCTGCTTCACGTCACGATGTGTACAGAGAACCATGCGGGCGAGATGGAGGAGGCTGCAGGGCTGGAGGCGGTGGGCCCAGGGAATTGGGGGTACCCAGGACCCACCTGCCACCCCAGGGCTGGAGGCCATTTGCTGCCCCTAGGCGGGAAACCGTGGACTAGATGTGGGTTAGCCAGCCCTTTCCAGATCGGGGTGTCCTTTCAGCCGCATTCTAAAGGTTTGCCTGGGGGTTCTGGGAGGCAGGGGCGGGAGGGAGAGCGGGGCAGGCAGGCAGCAGGCAGCCCCTCGTGGGGTCCCAGCTTGCCAGAGGAAACTGCTTGTAACTGCAGGGAGCATGGTGGGCCTGTAAAAAGAACGGGAAGCCAGCCACGGTGTAAAAGTCACAAATTTGTTAATCAATATTCATAAGAGCAAATGCCATGTGGCACTCAGTGTGTCGGGCAGTTGGCTCCAAGCCCCTGAGGAGTAATAACTCATTTGAGCTGCACGGCATCCCTGCCAGAGGGGAGCTATTGCCAACCCCATTTCACAGACGGGGAGACCAAGGTCCAGACCAGCTTTGCCAATGTCAGGGGTGAGTGAGGACAGATTTGCAGCTTGATACCAGTGTCACTGCCTGGGACCTCCACACCCATCTGCCAGACCGACAAAGATGAAAACACGACTGCCCCCTTTACTTGGGCCCCGCCCTCACCTGCAGATTCTTATGGGATAACTCCATACCTTCCTCTCACTTTGGCTACGAACCCAAAACTGCTCTAAAACAATAAAGTATTTTTTAAAACGTCAAGCATCATGATTTTTAATATGGCTCAAACTAACACTTCAACCCCTGTACCACCCAGAGATTCAGGGAGAGGAAAATACATTACCCCCATTTTACAGACAAGAAAACCGAGTCCTGGGCTTGGAGGAGCAAAGCCCCAGCCTCAGAGTTCTCAGCTGTGGAATGGTGGCCCAGACACAGTGATTGTGGGGAGTATGTGCAGACACGCACGGTGTCCCCGGGGTTTCCTCACAAGGAATCGGGCATTACGCTGCCAGCTCACCTCTCTGGAGCCCCCTGCCCTGGGGGGCTTACAGGCCGGGGCAGGCAGGCGGCAGACAGACAGAAGGATGGAGACAACTGTACAAACATCCTCGGGCAGTGGTTACATAAGTCCGTAAGCAAACAGGGTAACCCAGCGGGAGTGAGTAATCGTCTCAGGCTGATGCTCCGGGTACAGATGCGCCCTCAGCCTGCAGGGCACGTCCCTGCTGAAGCCACGGAGCTGTCATCGATGGTTCCAGGTGGGAGCCAGAGGCCTAGGTGAGATGGGCCTCCCTCCGCCACCCCTCTCCTTCTGTGGGGCTCTGCGGGGCCTCCTTCGTTCTTCCCTGGGTGACAGCCTGGGTGACTCCGCAGCCTAGCACACTTGGGGGCGGGTTAATCTGGCAATGAACGGAGGTCTTAGCGCATGGGCAGCGCTTGGCAAACGAGAGCTGCGGCTACGGTTCCCTCCTCCGTCGGGTGCGGGACAGGGTCACACACTCATTCAGAGCAGCACAGGAACGACCCTGCCCCATACGGATGAGAAAACGGAGGCTCAGACGGGAAAGGGACTTCCCTCAGAGCACCTGTTGGGTAGAGGTGGAGCCACTGGGCTCCCAGGACGGTGCCTGAGGGCAGGGAAGAAGGACGGGCCCCCACCCCACCCACCAGTGTGAGCGAGAGGTTCCCCTGCGGGGTCTGGTGGGGGTGTGCCTGTGTGACGCGGGTGTGAGTGGGGACCCGGGCAAGCGCGGGTCTGTGTGCACGTGGGCATCATGCGTGTACACCAACGAACACAGGCCTGGGAGGGAGCAGGACGAAGACACGCAGGCCGCCAGCAATGGCCCACGCGGAGACACTCGGGGCGCCGGCCCCAGCCAAGCAGGCCGGGCCCCTGTGCCGGCGCCGGGGCTCCCCTCCCCGAAGACCACCGGGGTGGAGGACTCGCCTCGGCCTCCCTGCCTCATCTCCCATCCATCCTCCCTGCCCAGCTCCTTCCTGTTTTGATGGAAGGAAAATTTTTCAGCTTTTTCCTTCTTTATTTTTCCAGACGGGTGACTCGCTCGGGAAAGGAATTCCCCCCTCCCCAAACCGCCACAATACCTACGTATCGATGCCATAGATCCAGGCCCATCCTGTTGTGCTGGGATAGGCACGGCTATTTTTGGGTGCTTTACGGGGGCGGTACCCCAGGGGAGGGGATGTGGGGGTGCTCAGCTGCCTCCTTCCAGTCCACATCCCCCCAGGTTCCTCCCCACCCCCTCGTCCTCCCTGCCCGAGTGCGGGGAGGGAAGGAAGCCTGCTAAGCCAGGGTATAAATAACTCAGGTGGTTACTCAGCCCCGAGAACATGATAACATGAGTCACGGTGTGAAATCAGAAGGAGCAGCGAGCAGCCCTGGGCCGCCGCCCGGCCGGGCAGTGGGCTGCGGAGAGGGGCGGCGAGCTGCCCGGACCTGTGGTGGGCAGGGCCCGGCCGGCAGGCGAAGCTGCAGCTCCTGCGTGGTCTCAGACCAGCCTCTTCTCAACTCAGACCCTTGGGCCACTCAGCTGGAGCTCGAGGGGCCGGCTCCATTTCCCACGCCCTTCTGGAGCTGGGAAGAGGGAAGGAGTTGGGGCCAAGCCCTGAGCGTGGCCGGGTCCTCTCCCTGCGCCCGTCTTGTGTTGGTGGACAGAGCAAGCCTGCTGGAACGGCTGGTCCCCTCCCCCCATTTCCAGGGCAGGTGGCCCAAGGGGTGCCTGGGCCTCTATGGGACTTGAGCATGGGAGGAGGGGCTGGGACACTTGGCCTGCTAAGCCTTCACCCACCAGGGTGGCCCTGAATCGAGGACAACCCGCACCCTCCTTTGGCTGCCGGCTGCAGCGTGGCATGAGGCGTGGGCACGGAAACAGGACACCATCAAGCGCCTCTGGCTGAGCCAGCGTGATCAGCGCAGGCAGCTCGGCCGGCCGCCGGCCTGTCCCGGCCCTGGCAGGCGGC